GGTGCTGCCGCAATGGTTGGAAGACATAAAGGATTTATAGCCGAGTTAGAAAATGTTCTCTCTGCTGTGCATACACTTCTCTGTATGATTCGCCGAGAACTTCTAGTGGCTAAGAACTTGGGAGGGTGATTTAACGATTGTCAACTGTTAACAATATTAAATCGCACTCTCTTCAACATTGTCTTTTTCAGCAGTTGTGTGTATGGAGAATAGTGAAGCGTCCCAGCACCTTCCGGTGCATGCAGAATTTAGATAGCTCTGTAAGAGCAACTGACTTCAGCAGTTGTTACACTCTGGGGCACCAATATCACATTCCTTTCTGCAACTGATTACGAAAAGCTGTCAACAGCTAAACCAGGTGTGTTTTATCCGGATGATGTATTAAAAAAATCCAATTTATTAGATAATACTCTTCAAGAAAAGTTGAGTAATCTTCTCTCGAGCAAAGAGGCCAGTACCGCTTTTCTTAAAAAGCTGGAACTGTATCCTCAAAACATCGGACGTCGAAGATTTTCAGTTTCGAATACATGCTACAGTCTCGGAGAAGCTGAATAATGAAGACTTACTTGTTTTATGCCAGTCATTTACAAAACTCCAGAAAAAAAGGAAAGTCAGGTTTCATGACCTAATTGACATGGTAGTCGCTATTGGGATTTTAGGTTCATTTGATGTAAAGCTCTGCGATGTTGGAGTTGAAATCCAGGAAAGTCTCACGGAGCTTCAATGTGACGCAGTATCAAGATCCGAATTCACGAAACATAAACAGAATTTTTGGATAGCTAATAATGCCCCTAACAGATATCCCAGACTTGGAGAAATAACTGAAATATATTTCCTTGTATTCCCAATCACATACGTGATTGAATATGCATTCAGCAAAGTGGTTTCCCCAAGAAAAAGTGGAAACAGATTGGACATCGCAGAAAGAGGAGATATTCGACGCTCACGGTCAAGTCTAGAGCCAGACATAAGCAAGCATGCCCAAGGACATTAGGCCCAAAGCTAACATTAATATCTCTACAAAAATTGTTGAGAGAGGACTACATCGCCTCATTCATGACGTGCCTTACAGTTAAATTCCTAAATACTCAAATACAAATGGAATTAAATAATGACGATTTTTGTGTAATTACAGACAAGCGGCTTGATTTTCTCGCACAATGAATGTCATCATGAGGTGATGAAACTTAAAAAAGGAGGTTTATACGGTAAAAAGCATCTATAAAACATTAAAAATTTAGCAATCATAAAAAGTATACCAATATTACCACTGGAAATCACAGCTTTGTATCTGTTAGGTGTTGCGAATTGCTCAAATTGTAGTGATAAAGAGTGGAGGTCATGATAAAATCGAAAGCTTCGAAAGTGGTCCACGGCTGAATAAAGGCTGAGAATGCCTGATCTAGACGGTCGAATGTTTTCGAGAAATCCAAGTATAATTAACAATGAGCAATGATTAATCATTGGATTAAAGCAAGTGCTTGACACACCCGTAGGATGGTTGGGGTGAATATGATGAAATCAAAGTATATCTGGGTCATCTACCGAACGTCTGCCGAGATGAATGCTTTCATAAATTACATCAGCGTAAAAGTAAAAAGGCAAGCCTAACCTACAAGAAATACACTGGTGTGCAGTGACCCTTGATATAAGGATTAAGAAAAGTAATATATGGTCGCTCACTTGATTCCATTTGGTACATAAATCTTATAGAAAAACATGCTTAGCGTAATCTACAATATAGGAATTTAGGTAACAAAATGCTGGGAGCTAAGAGTAACATCTAATCGTATTTTGAAAATGTCCAAGGTAGGGGAGGATACAACTGAGTCTGGGAGTGCGTTCCAGGGTTGGCAAACCCGAAGGGAAAAGTAATTACATCGACACTCTAGACGGCTATATTGTTCCTACAATTTTAAGCAGTTACCCCTGAGCTGCGTGTTGTGGCTAAGTTTCAGCAAATGGCGGCATACGTGGTTGGGGTCACACAATATCTGATACGCTAATATGAGATCACCGCGCAGCCTTCGATAGCGCCCGCTGAGAATCCCCAGCAACTTCAGCCTTCGGTGGTAAGAGTGATAGCGCAGGCCCTTTACATTCTTTGTTGCTATTCGTTGTGGTGCCTTTAAGGACTCTAAGTACCGCATCAACCAAGGTTGCCAAGCTTGGATAGCGTATTCAACATGCGGGCGCACGTAGGAATTGTACATCATTGGGAAGATTGGTGGGTCAAATCTCCCGAATGCTCTTCGCAGCATGCCGATGTACTGGTTACGTCTTTTCGCAGCTACCTCAGTCTGTTTTGAACAGTCGAGGTCGCTCTGTACGATCACACCCAGGTCACGTTCCTGGGAGCTCTTCTGCAGTCCGTTGGTCCCAAGTGAATAGGTGTAGTTATGACTATGGCGTAATTGCACAACGCGACATTTGTCTACGTTGAATGGTAAGGCGTTTTGAACTGACCAGTTCGACACTGTGTTAACATCGCACTGGAGCCATTCATGGTCGTCCGGTCCTCTGATCATTCGCCATATCTTGATATCAGCAGCGAAGAATAGGAAATCGAAAGCAATTGATCTCGCCAAATCGTTAATGAACACCAAGAATAGATGAGGTCCAAGCACCAAGTCTTGTGGTACTCCACACGCCACATCGATTGCATCGGACAATGATTCTCGGACTCTCACCGCTAGTCGTCGTTCTTGTAGCAAATTGCTAATCCAACTCAGGATTGGGTCACCAATGCCGTAGTTCCGAAGCTTCTGAAGGAGAATTCGATTGTCTAAACGATCAAACGCTTTTGAGAAGTCCAGGTAGATGACATCGAGTCATGCTCCATCAGCAACAGCTGCAGTCCAGCTATTAAGTGCAATTAATAGGTTAGTATTACACAAAGACTTTTGACGAAAGCCATGTTGCTCTGGGGCTATAAATTTGTGGCTTTCCAGATACTGCATCAGCGCATTTGCGATGATTGATTCCATCGATTTGGATAGTACGGGAAGTAGTGTTATTGGACGGTATTTGGTAGGGTCAGTGCGGCTACCTCCTTTATGGATAGGAGTGATGACCCCTCGTTTCCATACTGGTGGAATACGGTTCTCTTCTAGATATCGCTGATAGAAAACAGCCAGTGGTTCTGTTAGATCATTAGATACCGCCTGCAGAGCCTTTGGTCGGATGTTGTTGACTCCAGGAGAACTGTGGATACGCAAGCATAGCAATTTCTTCAACACAGCTTCCGAAGTGAAGGTGATGTTGTCTAAACCCAACGGTGGATTAATAGAAACGTGGAGAATATTTGGGCTCCTTACCTGCTGGAAAGTTTGAGAGTAATGAAGCCGTAGGAGATCAGCTGCGTCCATTGCTGATCGCGTTCGCCCATCAGCCGTGACTAGTGCTGGAATCCCCTCCTTCACCTTTCGGAGGCCGTTAACGTGTCTGTATTGAAGTTTGCGGTTCGTGCAGAATCGCTTCATGAACTCCTGCTGATGCGTGACCTTGTCTTCGCGGATCAGTTTCACACAGAAGTTACGATGTGTCACGTATGCAGTCCAGGTTTCGGCATAAAGGGCAGTCCTTGTGAACTCGCCATGCCAAATCCCTCAGGGGCATACATTTAGGTGTTCTGCTCCTCATAAATGACTTATGCTTGCTTTTGGGTTGGAAGGACTTCTGTTCCGATGGGCGCGCTACCAGTGTGCTAAACGTCCTTGTAAATGTTTCCCAGGCAACATCAACATTCACTTCAGTGTCAGCTGACTGGATCCAGCTACTCCCTGCTATTAGCAAATTCGTTGTGCACGATCGATCTTGACGGAAGCCGTGCTGCTCAGAAATAATTCTGTTTCCAAATAGCCCACCTGCGCATCGTCTATGATGGATTCTATCCCTTTGGGCAGTATAAGGTGAAAGAAAACTGGGCGGTAGTTTGAAACCTCGGTTCTGCTTCCAGTTTTTGTGAATGTGTGTTATTATTCCAAGTTTCCACATGGCAGGAACTTAGTTCTTTTCTAAGCAGCGCTGGAAGAATTGAGCCAGTGGCCCTGATAATCGACTTGCTGCTGCTCCTAGTGCCTCTGGGCGAATACTATCGACACCCGAGGATTTGTGCTTGCGCAGTGTGGTCAGCCTGTGCAAGACAGTTTCGGTGGTAAAGGAGATGTGAGTGAGTCCCGGCGGCGGGGAGATAAAAGCTGGAGGATTTCCTAATGGTAATACCCTCTGGAAGGTGAAGGCATATTGCATCCGCAGCGCGTTTGCTGCTACCGCAGCCGTTCGTGTTGGGCCACCAGCCATCGTGAGTGGCTAACATGCTTATACAGCAGTTTGTTATTGGCGCTGAAGGTATTTGTCATGTACTACTAATGCGCGGCTTTGTCCTTTCTGAGCAGTTGTGTGCAGTAATTTCGTTGGGCTACGTAGTTATCCTAGCTTTCTGGTGCTGGGGATAATCTATACTCTCGCCACGCTGCACTGCGGACTGCCAGCAATATTTTTGTTCTGCTCCTTACGTCTCATGGTCCGCATCACGGTATTCTGCATTGCAGAGGAAGTTGAGATTAATAACTGCATGATCACTGCGACATAACGTGCAGTCTACAACTAACGCATAAAACATATGTTTTTCGTTGGTAAGCACAAGAGCAAGAACGGATGGCCTATTATCTGTTCCGAACCAAGTAGGCGAAGTGACATGATTATAAGGCGACTCAGAGACACCCTACCATGCGGCCGCACTTTAACTCGTCTCTCGCTTTGCCCTCTGTGGCGACTCCAATTCTCCCCACACAATATTGTGCGTGCGCTCGTTCGAACCAGTTCGACGAGCTCTACCAAGTGCTTTCCATCTCCTGGATCTAACCTGTTTGGATTACACTCTTGCTCCAGTTCCCAGTTTTCGGAATATTCTTTGCCGAATTCCACTTGTGTAACTACATCAAACCAGTCTTTCGCGAAAAGCTTCCACCCACTAACGGTAGTGAGAACACGAACGACCGGGTAAAAACAATGTTCACGCCGCACGCCCAACCGGCCACCAAACGTCTGTGTGTGCAACTCAATGACATGATTCAAATTAGGGCATGTACACAGGCTATGCAGAAAGGCTGACAATCGATCAATCAAAGCTAGTCATTCCCGGGGCGAAGGATCGATACGATGTCTCACGAACGAGCGAAATGTACAGAGTAAGGGAAAAACCATTAAGCATAAGATTCAGTGTCAACCCAAGCTAGTCACAAAAGTGAAGTAATAGAAACGTATGTGGGGAACCGTAAAAGAGGACGGGGTGAGTGGAATAAAACTCACAAAACAACGGAGAGTGGTGGAATATTCTTACCTCCGCTATACACCTCTCCCTCCTTAAAAAAGTTAGTTACCTGTACGGAACATAGCTTTTCCGACGCGGGTCCACTTGAAACGGCTGTGCGAATTTTCTTGTTCGTTGGGGTCTGTTCCGACCTTCTTGTTCCGGGCATTCCCTTGGTTGAAATTCTCGGCGTGAAGAAGCACTTGGTTTGCCATTGTCAAGCAACTCATTAACATCAAATCTGTCGGCATTCTGAACATCACCTTCCAGTGTACACCGCAGTTTCAGCTGATTTGCGTGACGTCTCCATACCTGCGCACCAACTTGAACATCGTACATCACCCGTCCCCGACGTCGCACGATGCGTCCTGGTATCCAGCTGATCCGCCGTCCCTGAATAGCCGCTGCAGATACAAATTCGCCAACTCTGAACATCCTTCTCCGTGCTCCGTACCGCCTGTTGTATTGCTGCTCCATTGCTAAGTTCCTTGTTTGTGGGAGAGGACGCCTGGGTGTCAGCAAATCCAGTGTAGTTCTCAATCTGCGACCCATTAGGACTTCAGCTGGTGACTTCCCATCGGGTGCATTGGGATTGGGAGTCACTCGATAATTCAGTAGGAACCGGTCCAGTCTTTCGTCCAACGTTCCCTCGCCTTTTGACTTCAAAAGTGCTCTTTTCAGGGTATCGACGAATCTTTCCGCTTGGCCATTTGACTGTGGATAATATGGTGCTGTCCTCACGTGCTCGATTCCATTTTGTGCGCAAAACTCGGCGAATTGATAGGACGTAAACTGCGATCCGTTGTCGGAAATAACGGTTTTTGGTAGGCCATGCTGACTGAATACATGTCTCATTTCCGAGATCGTGCTGTTTGAGGACGTGGTTTGCATCCGGATCACTTCCGGCCACTTACTGTACGCGTCAACCATCACAAGAAATTCCACCCCCTCGACTGGTCCTGCGAAATCAACATGTATGCGCGACCAGGGAGATTCTGGATTCGACCAAGATTGCAATGGCACACGCACCGGCAGTTTGGATGCACTGATGCATCTGGAACAGGATCGACCGATATCCTCAATTTGGCTGTCCATCATCGGCCAAAAGACGTAGCTGCGAGCGAGTGCCTTCATGCGGGCGATTCCTGGATGGCCCTTGTGCAGCTCTCTTAGTATGCGCTGTCTGAGCACTTCTGGGATGACTATGCGATCTGCGAAAAACAGACAGGAATCAACTTCCGACAATGCGCCTCGCCTTGTGAAAAACTGGGTCAAAGCTTCGTTCGGACACTTCTTTGGCCATCCACTTCTTGTATAGGTTAATACTTCTTGTAGCACAGCGTCCTGTTTAGTGGCTTGCGCAACCATTAAACCATTCACTGGCAAGTTACACACTGCGTCTTGTATCATGTAGCTGACGTCCGATTCGGCTGCAATGGATGCAATGACTGCGTCTTCTTGATCGCGTCTACCGGTATTGATCAGTCTGGACAGGGCGTCCGCTTGTCCAATAGAATCAGTGGACAAATACCGCATGCCAAAATCATACCCCAGGAGCAGAGTTGCCCAGCGCTGAAGTCGACTGGCTGTATATGTCGGAATGCCTTTCTTAGATCCAAAGATTGCCAAAAGCGGTTTGTGATCAGTCACCAGCGTGAATCTTCTGCCATATATCATCTTGTGAAATCTCTGTACGGCAAAGATGATAGCCAACGCCTCCTTCTCAATTTGACTGTAGTTCTTTTCAGATGCGGTCAGCGCTCGTGCCACATGTGCCACAGCCTTTTCGGACCCGTCTGGAAAGCGATGTGAGATGACAGCACCAATTCCATAACTCGAAGCATCCGTAGCCACGACAATCTCCTGCTTCGGATTGTAATGCGTAAGGAGCAAATCTGATTTCAGCAGAGATTTGAGTTTGTCAAAAGCTTCTTGACACTGTGCGGACCAGTTCCATTCAACATCTTTCATCAACAATTGGTTTAAAGGATGACGTAATCGATGCATGCAAGGTAGGAACTCACTATAATGACTCACCATCCCAAGGAATGAGCGCAAGGTTGTGACATCCTTTGGTGCCGGTAATCTGTCTATGGCCTCGATATTTTCAGGATCAGGCCGTCGACCGTTCTCATCAATCACGAAACCCAGGAACTTGATGGATTTCAGGAAAAATTTGCATTTGTCAGCTCGCAACCGGAATCCATATTCCTTAATTCTCATCATCACGTCATCCAGTCGTTGAAACAATTCCTCCTGGGTTCCGCCCATTATGATGATATCATCTAGATAGGCTGCTGCTCCCGTCAAGCCAGTCAACATAGCGTCCATAACTTGTTGAAAGATTGCAGGTGCAGTTTTTACTCCAAATGGCAAACGATTATACTGGTAAAGGCCGCGATGCGTGTTGATTGTTAGCAGCTTTCTGCTTTCCGGTTCGACCTGCAGTTGCAAATAAGCGTCTGCCAGATCCAGAGTAGCAAAGTACTTGCCTCCATTCAGCTTTGCAAACACGTCGTCTGGGAGTGGAAGCGGGTACTGATGGGGTTCTAATGCAGCATTCAAGCCGGTTGAAAAATCTGCACACAAACGAATTGAGCCATTCGGTTTTCTGATCACAACGATAGGCGCCGCCCATTGTGAGAAACTGACTTGCTCGATCACTCCGGCCTGCTGTAAGCGATCAAGCTCATGCTCCACGAGTGCTTGGGATGCGTGAGGGACTGGACGTCTGGGTCGGAACACTGGCTTTGCCTCAGGAAGCAGGGTAAGCTTTGCCTGCATTTTCGTGCAATGTCCAAGCTCTGATTGAAATACACATGCATACTTCGATTGAAGCAGTTCTGCAATACTTTGACCCGGCTGATTCGATACGGCTGTATGAAGCACCGCGACATTATTCTCAGAACAAATGTGACTCAGTGGTACGTCGAGTAGATGCAGCTTCTCGATCCAATCGATGCCGAGCAGATTTACGTCACTGCTCGTAACCAAGTAAATCGTGCCACGAAGATTCAAGCCATTGAAGCTGATTTCGCACTCAATCTCACCATCTAATCTCAGTGGTCCCCCAGATGCATTTTTAGCCGTCAGGGTTGTGCGTTTGAATGCTGGTCTCCCAAGCCTCTTCCAGACTGATCTCGAGATGATTGTAATGTCGGACGCTGTATCCAGCTGCAACGTGATAGGGACACCATTGACTTTTACTGACACGTACTTTCTCTTGCGTGCAAGTTCTGTGCGAAAGGCGGCGAGGATTATCTTTGCGGCCGGTCCGTGAAAATTGGCTCTTCTAAAATTGGGATTTACGCGCATTTTTGGGGGAAAAGAACGTCTGAAATTGTTCACAACTCGGCAGTGGGTTTCCTTATGGCCAATCCGTCTGCACTTCTGACATTGGTGCGTTTTATATGTGCAATCTCTCACAAAATGCCAGGCGCCACAATTCCAGCATGCGGTCGGGGGCTTCGGAGTTGATCCAGTTCGATTCATTCCTTTACGTCGGATAGCTGTACGACAAATTTGGGGTTCAGTTTTGTGATCAGCAGTTTCAACCATTTTTGTATCGTGCTTCAAATTAATCAGCCGCTGGCATTCTGTAGTGATATCCTGCAACGTCAGTTGTGGTTCCTGTTCAAGCTTGTGTAAAATTCGTGTGCGAATATCGGCATCAGCGGGGGACTGGAGACTGCACACAAAAATAAGACTCTTAAATTGATCCGCAGTCATCGTGCCCAGTTTGAATCGTTCACATTCGCGGTTCACAATCCCAGCATGAGTGACAAAGTCATGGACATCGCGTTTGACCAACTTCAAACAATTGTACCGAATGCTGAACAAAGAGGCTTGCTCACTGAAGATCTGCGTCAAAGTTCTCACGGTCTCATCAAAGCTGAAGTCCCTTGCGTTTTTCGGCAACACGAAATTTGTGTAGCGTTCATGCTCCACTGCTCCAAGTTTTCTCAACAACAATCGAACTTTCCAGGCATCATCTTGGTCAGCAAACTCCACTCGAAAAATATCCTCATACTTCTTAAACCATGAATCGAAGGTTACACCACTCAATCCATCGAACACAAATTCTGTGATTGATGCAGTAAGGGCGTCCACTGATGATCGTGCAGTCGTCGTCGTCGTCGTCGGGGGTTCTGTCTGAAGGTTCAATTTCTGTGTGAGCAATTCGATCAGCTGCCTTTGCGATTTCTCAAATTGCAATTGTTGCTGTTGAAGTAAAGTCTGCAATTGCTCGAACGAAACCGACATGGTTCACCACTTCTCGTCGCCAGAGAAACTGTTGTGTCGGAACCCCACGATTGCTTCCACCCACTAACGGTAGTGAGAACACGAACGACCGGGTAAAAAACAATGTTCACGCCGCACGCCCAACCGGCCACCAAACGTCTGTGTGTGCAACTCAATGACATGATTCAAATTAGGGCATGTACACAGGCTATGCAGAAAGGCTGACAATCGATCAATCAAAGCTAGTCATTCCCGGGCCGAAGGATCGATACGATGTCTCACGAACGAGCGAAATGTACAGAGTAAGGGAAAAACCATTAAGCATAAGATTCAGTGTCAACCCAAGCTAGTCACAAAGGTGAAGTAATAGAAACGTATGTGGGGAACCGTAAAAGAGGACGGGGTGAGTGGAATAAAACTCA